ATACGTGAGTGCCTCGTAGGGCAATACAGTTTGTAGGGGCTGTAGATCTGTAATCTGGAATATCTGCTGATCCCCCATAGGGCAGGGCTTCCTGTAATTATCGGTCTGTGGGGGAAGGAAGAGGGGGGAGGGTAAGATTGCCTTTTCTCAGAATATCGGTCTTACAAGGGAAGTGTCAGAACTCGCAGTGGCCTTTTGACATGAAATAAGTATCATCTGAAGCAGCTTGGAATGCTGATTCCAAAGCAGCCTTTCTTAGCTGCAGAACTAATCTAGGACGAGAGTTATTGAATTTAATTTGCGGGAAATTTACAACGCTGAGAATAGCCAAAAATTAAAGCGAACATTTTTTCGGGCTCAAACATAGATGAAACAGTCCAACAATGTTTAACGTAATCCTACGCCTTCATCAAAGTCATGCTGTGGTGCTTAAACAAGCAATTGAAAGGTTCCCGTGATCACAAAGTACTTCAAACAGTGTAAAATTTAATGTTTAAGATGCCCATAACTCGCGATCCAGATCAGTTCTGCAGCTAAGAAAGTTTGTTTTGGAATCAGCATTTAAAGCTGCTTAAGATGGTACCCATCCCATGTCAAAAGGCCACTGCGACTTCTGACACTTCCCTTGTTAGGGCAGTCTCAGCACGGTTCTTTCTCCAGTAGGGTTTGTTGGGAGAGGAACGACGGAGGAAGGGGAAGAGGGTTCTTGTAAACCTCGGTCTGTAGGGGAATGTGAGTAACTTCTCAAAACATCGGTCTGTTAGTGGCCTATAGGGCATTTTCTTTCTATAACTACCACTCTGCAGCGGCGCATAGGGCAGTTATATTCTCTAATATATCGATGGTAGTTACGTAAAGATATGTCTCAAGCAGCTCATAGCTTCTGTTGTTTCAAAATACTAGCTTGTGCTACACATAGGGCGAGCGACTGCTTCTTGCAATAATAGACTTTGAGCGGCTCTTAGGACAATTTTTGAAAGTTGGTTTGAAGATTTGAAGGACAATTTCTTCTTGATATCGGTCTGTGTGCGTCCATAGGGCAACCTTTTCTGGAAAAGGTCCGTAAGCGGCTCGTAGGATCATTCTACATGAGCAGTTCTTTTTTGAAAATATCTTTTTTGAAAAATACCAGTCTGTAAGCAGCCCACAGTGTAGTCTTGTCAAAATAAGGGTCTGTAAGCGGCCCATAGGGCATTTCCTTCTAATGACTAATTACCGTCCGCGGGCGGACCATAGGGCATTTTTTCCGTCTGTAAGCAGCTTAAAGGCTTCCCCGCAATATTCGATTTGTAGGGGGGGGGAGGGATTGTATGGCAGACTTATCCCAGAATACGATATCATTTGTAGGGGTATGAAGGGCACTATTTTCTCAGATTACCGCTCTGTAGGAGGCCTGTAGGAAAGTTTTTCTTGAAGTATTCTTCTCCAGGATCGTGGGGCAGCTCTCACATGTACCGCTCTGAAGGGGCGGAGCAGTACGTATGTGCAAAAAGTGGTTTATAGGCGACGCATAAGGCATGAGAATACAATGCTTGTTTTCGCTGCCGGAATTTTTCGGGAACTGAGGTACTTTCTGAGTGTTTAGCTGAGTGTAGACTACATCGTCGCTTTGAGAGTCGACTGCTTGGTGACTCTGTTGAGATTGGTGCAAACATTTGACCCAAAGAAAATTTTTAGAAGAGAGTCAAAAGGTATCGAATAATCAGCAAAGAGGATTCTCACAATCAGAAGAGTCAAAAGTCATTTATTACTCGGTTTCAGTTGCCCAGAACCCTAAAAAGGTATAAAACGTAGAGGTTATTGTGGTGATGACTATATGTACCCTAGCATACTTGCAACGGCCCTTAGGGCCGCTAGTACAAATAAATGACCCGCAAGTGAAAGTGGATATGTCCATCAGCCGGGTACTGGCTGGACATATCCACTAAAGGCTTTGGCCACGCTTACCGATGTTACTGCTGAAATGAACAGTATGAGGGTCCGTTAGAGGGGCTAAAGTTGTGCTGTTTTTCAACAACGATTACATCCGTAACAAAGGTAATATATGACCAAAACAAGGAGGAATGAATCATCTAAAAATAGTCTACATCGTTAGGTGAACCCAGTCAAGCAAACTATCTTATACTGTGTGAAGTAAGAAGTGTTTAGCAGTTAGAATTTCTGGATTTTTTTTTTTCGCGTACGTTTTCTTAGCCAACGGTAGCCATATTCTTCCAAGCACGCACAGCCCTATGTAAAATCACCGATTAGTGATAAGTCAGTTTCTAGCGTACAGACGTCCTAGGACAAACTCAAACACTCTTTAGCTAATTCGGGCTCAGACAGTCCCACGCCCCTGTAACCCTAGTCAAATCTCCACAGTCCTGGTGCCCAAAATTTTTTTAAGACGTGCCAGATGCTCACCTGCTCTCTACAGCCTTCCCTCCCATAGTGTCCCTCTCCCCTCTATTCTCCACAGGTACCATGTAACTTTATGGTATTGTATGGTAACTTTATTATGTTCTCTGTGCCGTTTTATCGCCATCCATAGAGTTCTAAGCCAATCTTCCTCCTTCCTCCTCCCTCCCCACCTCTTCGTTGATTTCTTACTTTGCTGAAGAATGGAGTAGAACAGATGTTATTAGGATGATTGAAAACTATTAAAATTTTTTGTCAAACTTTTTCACTCTGAAGCTTCTCTTCAGAGTTCTTCAAATACTTCTCTACATTTTTCGGTCCTCGAGCTCTCGAGTTTCCCCCACCAAGTTGCCTTTAACGCAAACAAATTTTTTACAGCGCTCTCCCCAGTTTCTCCAGAATCCTCTCTTTCGCTCCTAAAGTTCTTCTTTGAGAATGTGCATTCTCATTCAAAACTTTTGCCAAAACTCTCCAACCGGTTTCTTTTCTGTGGACGTTCGTTTGACCCGCTCTCTTTAGTTTACCCGAAGTGGCCCGAAACCCTTACGCTACAGCTAAAACGGTCAATTTCTTTGGTATCAAAACCCAAAATTTTGATGAGAGAGATCACATCTCTTGTTATTACTTCGGGTTAAAATCGATACATCTTCATAATGTTAAATCGCAGCGAACTGTGAATTTTTAAGCGCGTAATGACTTCTATAGAATGAGAATGATCCTGAAGTATGTAGCAAAACGTCTCGGAGGAGATGGTTTTTGCAAATTTTGTTCGTGTTAAGACCAAAAGGGCCCTTGCATAGACCTACCTGTTTGGTGATATCGAAATCTGTGAGTGTATCTGAAGTGGTATAGTGATGATTGACGAAACTGAACTGATCAGTCTTAGCACCGACTGCGCTGCGAGTATTTCACAGACTGCATGCACTTAGTTGAAACCGTAAACATCCCAGAAGCCATGATTTTCGTGTATGGTCGCGGTGACACTCGTACAGTCGTGATGCGAAAGGGCACCTGTACTTAGTAAACGATGCGCAGCTCATTTACGAAAACACGACTGCATTTACGAAAACACGACTGCAGTGGCCAGGTATCAAAGATCACTGCTGGCGACAGACATCCACGATGAGTCACATGGGGGTGCTTGCGCTTTATCGAGTATGATATAAAGCTGAATGTCTGTCTGTCTGTCTGTATGTGTGTACGTATGTTCCGAATAGAAAATTCCATTTCTGAACCGATCCGGACCAAACTTGGCACACATACACTTCGGGCCCCGGCGGGTGTCATAGGCTACTTTTCGTCATCGATCGATGTCGATTTTATCGATTTTTTTGCAAAATTTGAGCTACGGGGCTGGGAGCATGCTGATCACCCCCACGGGGGTGATCAGCATGCTCGATTACCCCCCTGTGCCAACTCCCAGCCCCGTAGCTCAAATTTTGCAAAAAAATCGATAAAATCGACATCGATCGACAACGAAAAGTGGACTGTGACACCCTCCGCGGCCCGAAGTGTATGTGTGCCAAGTTTGGTCCGGATCGGTTAAGAAATGGAATTTTCTATTCGGAACATACGGCGGAGTCGGGCAAGCCAGCTAGTTTCCGATATTCCTAAGGTGAAGTTGCAAGTGTTCAAAGTAGTGCGACATGCAGTGGATCGTCGATAAACTTATGAAGTTTCGTTGATCGACGATGGTGTGTATATACATTCTAAAAAAATTAAATGGCTAATTTTCCTGCGCTAAGGGAATTCCTGTGCGCTTTTGCCTGAGAATTACAACTGCAGAAGAAAGAGAAGATATGGACACACTAGACCAAGCAGCATTGAATCGCGAATACACTTGATGTGGAATGTATGGAGCTGCGTCTGGCTCGAACACTGGATTGAATCCGAACCAGCAGAGTTTCAGTTTGCTCAGATGCCATTCGACTCTCTTGCATGCACAGCCCAATTTTGCTTTGCACATCCCTACTCTATAGGCTCTCAACGTCACATCCTATTCGGCCACGATATGAACCAGAGGAACATACTTGAGTGTATAAATGTATGATAGAAGGTTTATCGATCACTTGCTGTCTGAGACCGTGGGCATACCTCACGCGATTTCAGTCACCATCTGGCAGTTTGCCAGATGTATTCAAATTTGATATTGGTAGACCCGAAATGCACAGTATATATATATTTCTCGTAGGTTGATGAAATGCCCTACTTTCCGTACATCCAAAAACCCTTTACGATGAGTTATGAACATCTAGAGTATTGCCAAATCGCGTGGCGACTGAAATCGCATCCAGGGCTTGAGTTCTCCGGCAGAGTTCACACGATTTCATCGCCTCGCGATTATTCCGGCAAAACAACAGTTACGAACGAGTCCATTGCACACCGATCATCTTGCATTTCGGTTGTGATAACCATGTTTCGTGTTGGAACACTATCACAACCGAAACGCAAGATGATCGACTGCAATGGAGTCGTACCTATTGTCTTGTTAGGGAGTCGCGAGCCGATGAAACCGCGTGAACTCTGCCCGAGCCTGACATGATTGACTGGGAAGAAATTAGCATGTAACATATTCATTCTATATAAAGACTAAATAATGAACCGCGAAATGGGAATGGAAGCTTACAAATATAGAAGGCTTACGTATTAAAAAAAAAGTAAATTAAGAAGCATCCAACTGGGAAAACCCTAGAAAACATTTTTCATACATATGTATGAAGATATAATTCATTGACATTATAAATTCAAAAACATTCATCATAAGCTTTACAGTACAAATCAGACTATCTTCGGAATCAATGAATATAATTTAGTGCAATATTTACAAGACAGTGAGTAGCACAACCCTCTTTCACTATTCCATAAAAGCATGTACTATGTGTAACTAAACAGGTCAGTCTTGCAATGCCGCAAACACTGTAGATTAAGTGAACCGCATCTCAACTCAGTTAGCTAATAACAGGCCAGGAACGCATAATATAGGGCAGAGGTGTTGAATCATTTGAGATCTTCCTCGTCTTCTTTAGTGATGGATCGTTTGATTTTCACCAGTAGTCCAGTATGCCACTGATCAAGCCGGCTGATTTTGTCAAAAGATTTCACAGTATCCGTGAATAACTCTTCGTTTCCATCTTCAAGGCAAGCTATCAGCTCCTGAAAGAAAGCTATTATGACAGGAGAGGGATGATGGTGGAAGAAAGCAAGCCAAATACGTGATTACCACATATACGCGCGGCAAGATCTATTCGATTAAACAATGCATCAATGATGTACATAACTTCGAATGTGCATAAAAACCAGAAGTCTAGTGGAGCGACCAAAGAATCGTTTTACAACAAAAAGCTACGCAGATTTAAGTTGATTAGAAAATGATGTAGGTGTGTGACAAAACTCACTTTAATGAACTTTGCTTCACGAGTATCAGAAAACGACGGTGAAGCCTCTTCGTACCGTTTCACAGCGTGCTGGGCATCGAGCTAAAATCGTTATGAATTTTGTGCACAAAAAGACGTCAGGAAAACTAGGACCGCATATATTTCTGGTATATACCACTAAATACCCAAGAAAGGACAACTGTTTGCAATTTCTATACTAACATATTTCCAAAGCTTACAAGGGAACCGTGTCGAGTCGAAGTGGCCTTTGCAGATGAGACCCATGCTGCTTTGAAGAGCATTAATCAGTGATTCCAAATCTGCTTTCCAAATCTGCCAAGCGCCTCTGGACGCCGAGTTATGCTCATTTTTCAGGTGAAAAAACGAACGCAAAACTGAAGCAAAATCGCCCAAATTTGCTCAAATGGTCCAGTGTCAAGTATCAGAGCTGTTTATGCAATGGATACATTTTATTTAACATGCTAATACTTAACATTGCTTTATCTGAGCGCTGGAAAGATTGTAACAATCAACTTTACCTAAATTTTCCATTCATTTTTCGTTCCCAAAAACGGTCATAACTCGGGGTCCAGAGGCGCTTGGCAGATTTGAAATCACCTCTTAATACTCTGCAAAGCTGTATGGGCTCATCTGGAAAGGCCACTTCGACTCGACACGGTTCCCTTGTTAGTTTTCTGTGTCAAATGGGGTCCAATATTTTAGGTTATTCATGTTCTATCAAAAGTTTCTATATTGCAAGTCAGCCTTATACGATATTGCTCGCCTTGACCAAGACATTCACGGTATTTGATATGTAACTTTTCTCATATTAAGAAAACGAGGAAAACTCACAATATCCACGCATAGATAACACAAAAGAGCTTGGAAGAAGTGGTTTTTGGCTGCATATTTCAGAGTGGGATGGTCAGCCTCCCACATAGCAATTTCTTCGAATACTGATATGGCTTTCTGATACTGCTCCAGTTGTGCGGCATACTGAAAAAAAAAACCAGAAAGTCACTATCACATTTGGGTTGTGTGCCACAAATAACGATTTTCTCTACAGGATGACCAAATTTGGAAAATTACTTATACAGCAGTGTAATTAAGTACCTGTGCCACTTTGATCCAACATTTCGTTGCACTACTCTTAGCTTCTTCGCCCTTATAATAGTCGGCAGCTTTCTGGTAATGTTGAATGCATTGCTCCAAATCTGGACACTCATTCTCATATCTGTAAAAAAAGATGGAAATCTGGAAGAGAAAAAAGAGAAAAAGAAAAGCGCATAGGCTAAGAAAAGAAAGTGAAAGAACTCACAATTCAGCGATGGTAACATGATTCTTGGCAGCCATGTTAAAGCGACCCATGTCAGTGTAAATTTCCGAAGTTTTCGTAAGACAGTCAACGGCAAGCTAAAAGAAAGCACGTCCTCGCATATCACAACAAGTTTTCATTGCCCACATACTTGAGGATTGATTTTTCTGTAGCAATTTGCTGCTTCGGCGTACTGACTCGCACAATCATGTTTTGAATCACCCTATAATTTGCATATTCACTGGGCTTATAATGCGCAGTAAAGCCACACCTTCGATCCGTGAAGTTCGGCAGCTCTCACAAAAGCATCGCCAGCTTCCTTCCACATTTTGGCCATTTTGAAGAGGTTTCCAGCCTGAGAGAAAGAGGAAGTAAATTTGGTAAAAAAACCATTACAATAATTACAGGTGAGGTGATCAGTATTTATTGAGCAGATGAATTAGCATGAGTTTTCTTAGTTCTGTCAACGACTTTCGTACTTCGAACACCAACGAAGGTCTTTTCTTGTTCTCCAAACTTGACAGAACGAGGCACCGCTCTTTTTCCGGAGACTTTCATCTTCTCAAGAGTACATTGTAGCTCGTTCATTCTTCTGGCCAACTTTCGCTTTTCGATGGTTACTTCAACTTCGGCGATACTATGAACTTTCCGACAATGTTCATCTCGTTCGATTGCACTCTTGAAGGCACTTTCACATCGTTCGTCATAGCACTTGAAATGATTTCCATTCGGGTCCCTCTCAACGCTCAACGAATGGAAAGGACAATGAGTTTCGTCGCTATGAACTTCCAAAGCTTTCTCGCTGATGAACATCTTCGCACAAGCAGCGCATTGGTGCGTGTGAGCTTTTGCATAATGCGATTCAAATTCAACAATATTCGGAAATTCTCGGAAGCAAAGATCGCATTCGATTGCCTCATTTTCATCGCTCGATGTGTCGTTTTTTTCAGTGTCCAACGCCTTACTTGTGGAAGGCTCTGGTTCATCAGCAGAATTCTTGTGCTTGAAAAAAATCGAATATGGGATGGATGGTAGCATAAAGTACATGAAATATGCGTATGTCACAAAAGTTGCAAGCCAGATCAAAAGACGTAAATAGCCCAATAAAGCCAAAAACAATGCTGCATTCGTGAAATGACTAGCTAGAATCAGTTCACGTATGCACTCCATACCTGGTATCTATAAGCACGTAGTAGTCAATAACGAATTCTCGGGAAAAATTAGTTGCTTGCTCGCGCGAATGTAAAAGTATAGCGCAGAAATTTCATCAAGGCAGGTATGCTAAACAAAGAAGTAATGCATAATGAGCACGTATCAAATGGTGGGTTTGATATGTTTTGCTATGCTCTATCTAGAACAAACAAAACATTTTCTGCACAAGAACAGTCAAAATAAGTAAGACAGCAAGTGAGCATTGCGGTTGTAAACTGCAGATCGGTTTTTCTCAAAGAACATAATAACTTCGTATTATAAATTCAATCTACCTGTATAAAAAGATCAGCAGCATCATCTGCGCCACTTCCACCGAATAGTTTACCCAGGAAACCGCCGCCTCCTCGACATTTCTTTTCAGCTTCTTCAAGCTTTCGTCGAGCTTTTTGTTCGCTGTCAGCCATTCCTACAATGATAGGTTAGAGACGATTACCAAAAATGACTCATAAGATGGATATGATGAAATTATCGATCTTCGGAGAAGCCAATAGGAGCAGGAAAACCGCAGCAAAAGCCCAAATGCACTGAGATCGATACTTCACCGCGTCCACAGACACACTGATGACGCCGTCGATAAGGACATATAGGATAATACATATTATCTTCCATGTAAAAAATAGCTTAAGAACTTTAGTTTGGGGAGGATTCGAATGAAATAAATCATAACAACAATTAATAAGGAGGCACCGGTCTCGCATGGGACAAAACAGCATTAGTAAACTCCAACACAAGGTACTACATTCTAAATACAATGATTCCAAGACTGTTTGTAAGAAAGAAAGAAAGGGGGAAAACGAACAACAAAGCCAGCGGGAGGCGAGAGAAAAGTACGCAATGTCCGAAGCACTAATTGGTAGCTACAGTACCAAGAAATGAAGGTCATCGAAGCTTTTGAGTCGTCTAGTGCTAATAGTCAGAGCTGATTGATCTGGAATCTGATGAGGTTTACTCTTCTATGGATAGACAAGAACTATAACTACCTTTTCATCCCGTCTGCGTGGAAATGATTGCACTTACTTTTTTCTGTTGCGCACTTTTTTGCACAGCAGGTGTTATTCTGGATATATCAGCGTTTTGTAGATATCAGAGTTATAACAATTAAATAGATATTACACAGTAATCCTAATGTCCTTTGCTAGATGCGAGATAGAAATTTCAAAATTGTATTTGGAAACAATGATTTACAATTACATTCGTCCAATGAAACTATCCTCCTCGGAACAGGCTAATACGACGAACGGCAGTTACAGCTGCCAACGATGTTTTGGAGTTGTGTATGGATTGGGTTGTTTGAAAAGTTCTACCCGTTTTCGAACTTTGACTTTGATTCACCCTAACTCTTCTCAGTAATAATCTTTGTAATTGCTATAAACTGTAGTACAATCTGCAAATCTTTGGCTATTCTGCGCACTCTTTAAGATTATTGCAGTAACAGTGAAGATTTTATAGGCGAAAATCGAGGAACATCTCTTTGTAGAAACCTTCACTTTGCAAAAGCATAACTTGATTTGGAATATAGCTGAGTTGCACAAGCACTGCTCATAGTGTAGCCCGTAGTCGACTGAGCGGTAACGCTAACTTTGCATTTCATCAAACTCTTTCATAAAATTTTGCGCTGAAAAATCCGAAAGAACCCACTTATTTTGCTCTTTTTGAGGTGGCAAAAATTGCAATTTTTTACATTTTTGACTTTGTTCGTCGTTGAAAACCAGAAAATCTTTTCGTTCTTCTAGCAGCAGTTGTTGCAGCTCTAATCTCACTATATAGAGTAAAAATTCCGCGATTGCAATAAGTTTACGATTTTTATGCGATTTGAAGGGACCATAAAGACAGGTTATGTTTAAGCTAAGAATTTGTAGGTTCAAAATTTTTCTGAAATCATATCTCGATGAGCATTTGGTAGTACAAGTCTCCAGCAAACATTAAGTATGTTTTAAAAATTTTTTTTCTTTTGGCTGTAGATTTCATGGCGATAGAGCAAAGACGAAAATTTTCACATTTGTTACGCTGTCTTTTCAAAGTACGCAACCACACAGCGAACAAAGATCTTTGAAAACGAGAATATGCCTAAAAAACTAGAAGAAAAGAGCTTTTGAAAGATATAAGCATTGTTTATGAAAAATGGTTTCCTCCTCCAAAATCGGCAGTTTAAAAAAAGGTATCGAAAGCGGGTAGAACTTTTGAAACAACCCAATAGATTAGGTTGTCCCGAAAGTTTTGTCGGTTTTTTCAGACCACTGTAAAACCACGTACAATAAAGACCTGAGTGAGTTACAACATGCATGCGATGCAGCTTTTCCTTCTCTTTCTTATGGATGCACTTTCATACCATAATGTTATATGCTTTCTCTGGTAATTGCCGAAATTCTACACCTGTCAATTTTAGCTGCTCAAAGTTGAGCTAATTTTTAAAAATTTCGTTACGAAGTTTCGAGAAGATCAAGTATGGGTCAAATAGAGCAACTCTCGGGCTACAAGATGATATTTTTAGATTCTCCTAATTTGCTGATTTTGACTTCAAAAAATTATTTCTTCTGAGGTCTCGATTTTTGGCTAAGTCATGGAACGCGCAATTGCAGCAAAAGCATAAAAGCTTTTGAAGTTTTTGCGAATTCGAACTTGATTGTTATTAAACATCATTTATGCAACATAACCAAGTTTGATTTGTTTCAAAAACCAGCTTTTTGGAATTTTCGGTAATTTTACGTAGTAAAACGTGTTCAAAAAGCCGCGGTTTTTCTCAAATAAATAATTATTATGGATTTGATAAACGTGGCCCACGTAATCTAAAATAGCCACAATGTAGCCAAAGGTTTGCCCTACATAACAGCCGCCAGCGCTCGTCGAAAATATCAAGATAAAAATTTTGAAAATTCAGGAAATTTTGGCGTCACTGCTGAGGTGCTCAAAAAGCCATGGCGATAACATCGCAAAGACGGGGTAGATCAGGGAACAAATATAGCTACAGGAAAGAGAATAAAAATATGAATAGAATGACACCTAGGTCGTTCATGGAATGGTGTTCTGTGAGGTTTGGTGAGCGATGAAAAAAACCGACAAAACTTTGGGGACAACCTAATATATAGTCGGGAACTCTTAGAGCCAAGGTAGGACTGTTTCTTGAAATCTGCTAGCGGACGACATTTGTATAAATGGTGTTTACCGAAATTATGTTTCTGCGCTCGACTTAACTAATATATGGCGCATCCTCAGAATAACTCCCATAGATACCATTAACATGGCTGCCTTTCAATCGTTTCAACAGTTAACCCCAGCAAATTCAAACGCTTGTTCGAACTTGGCATGGTAATACGATCGAAGGGCAGCCACGTTCAAAGTGCCTATAGGAACAGTTCTGGGGATGCACAATATCTGTTTTTATTTCCACATCTCTACTGTATCATGAACTCATAACGCATAGATATGACTCGAGCAACGCAGTAATTGTTCAGGTGCCCAAAAGTTGACGGTTAGTGAAAGAAAGGTGACAAATGGTTATCTATAAAATGAATAACCTGCGCCGAATTGCAGAGCAGATTTCATACATAATGTGTGTAAATCACTCCTTTTTGGCGCTTATCAACATCATTTTTACCAATGGTTTTCAAAATAATGTCAATGAACCAACCAACTTTTGATATAACTTTATTGGATACATCTTCACAATCATTTTTATGATCATTCTTAGGAGTTCATAAGGATTCACGATCTTGTATTGAGTTCAGCATTTTTCACTGATGGCTATCTACAAAGATATATCTACTGTCTAATAAGGGTTTAGATCAACTTAGTAACCGTTCTCAATAACTATACTTACGAATGCGCCTGGCAGAAATATGAAGCTCTACTATTCTGAAGTGCTATTTTAGCAACCTAAAGCTGAACGAAGGCCCTTAGGCTACGGTACCAGGCTCTCGGCTAAGCCAACGCCAAAAACCAACACGAAAACGATTCCGTGCACAGGATGTTGTGCAAATACCGAGAACTATTGTTTTTTTTTGCTAACAAGAAAGACAACGAAGATTTATTCTTCGGAAATTGAGTACGCAAAGCTGAGTTAAGAAAAGCAACGAGGAACGATGCATGGAAAGATTAAGACATAGACAAATCGATAATATGCTTAGCATATTAAGGTTGGACTTCATTCCGTCTTTTGTGACATTGTATTCGCTTTCTCCACTTTCTGTCGCAGAAGGTTTTTGAAAGTCAAAAGCACTTCACGCGACTGTGGCGAAAAGGTGTCGCCATTTTCTTGCATCATCTGAAATAAGTTTGTCGATTGTTCATCAAAAGGAGGGGTGGATTAGACATTTGATTATAAGCAGTCTTATGATAAGTCTTCTTGGACATTATAAACACTTTGAAATGCGGACATCGTCAAATTCTAGCTCCTTTCGGCGATCTGCTCAGTTTTTTCAATTTTTTCACTACTTTAGCAATTATTAACCACCCAATGGGAAACAAATGGAAAAAACAAGAAGCGAGCGTTGAGGAAGAAGCGTTAAGGTTGCCCATAGTTATAAAGATTGCTATGAACTCAAAAGCATGCACCGTTCTAGCGCTTTCATATCGTTATAGATGTTTAAGACAACAGTCTCTGGAGTTTGCTGTGCTTGAAGGACGCCACGCGAATTGCCATTACGGACGTGTGAGATCGTCTCTGTCCATGTTTTCTTTTCGTGATTTTTGGATGAGACTTGGAAACTCCAACGAGTCAATTATTCAACTTTGCTTGTGGTTCAGCTAATTATACTGAGTGTCCATCAAAAATGTAACCTCTGCCTGATTGTGAATAACTCCCTTTCATTGAGATCTTTGGGAAGCGTGGGTATGATTTTGTAGAGCTGTAACATGAATTCACAGAATATTCTCCGGCTCTTTGCTACTGTAACATTGCAATAGGAACTTTGAAGAGGATTTGGACCATCGTTTTCTGCTTCAGAAAGGATACAACACAACGTTTAAACACATACATCAGACCTCGATGTCTAAGTTCATAATTTGTAGCTCAGTAAAAACTCGTCCATAAACCAGGTAAACCATGACAATTATTCTCTTGGTGTTTTGTAAGCAAGTGGCAACATGTTCAGTTTTACAGACATGTAAAAAGTTAAATAATGAAATCATCGTGCTCGAAAACCATGCTACAACTTTTTTTTCGAAAATTTGTTCAACGCAGCTAACATACAGTGGCGCGAAATGCTGGAAGTTCGTACGGTAATTTGTAAACAAGACGGTGATTCATTCTGTGCTGTGAATCTAAGCTAAAGCCAGCTCTACAGATATCGTAGGCTCGCTAAAGACCTCAAGCAAAAGAATGACCACACCAAACCGCGGTTACGCACTTTGAGACACCCTTGGTGCGGAACAACGCGTGGAGAGAACATGATTTGATCAAGTGTTCAGTTACAAAATTTGTTTGACAGCCGCCCAGAGATAGCGGAAACATGAGAACCGTATCAGACCTGTTTGAAAACCCGAGTCTCGGGATCTGCATCCGCTGGCAAGACAACGATCGGTGACCCGTCCACAGAGAATGCGAGTTCGTCGTCACGTGCCGCGCGAAACTGATTTCTCCTTGAAATATCGCAAGTTCACTAAGAATTGAGGAGAAAAATCAATCGACCCAAAACTGACCTCACGTCGTCCAATTTCGGACGAATCACAGAAGGCATATTCAGGACAGCTGAGTTCTCTTGCAAAGGAGTAAAAACACTGCAAAACACCATTGCCATTGTTACGAAAGTCACAATCAGTGCTTCCAAATCCAACATGTCAACATAGAAGGATGATTCGACTTTACATACTCTGCGGGCATCGTGCAGTAACGCGAATGATGCGCTCAACGCATTATGTTCCATTGTCGGAGAAGCTATCAAATGCATATGGCCTCTGGTCTTCTTCAGGATGATTAAGTCATTGCTGATTCAGACTGATACAATTTCCTCCCTGGCATGTGTTGCCCAAGCTCAAACCCAAACCTACCGGTTAAAGTGGTCCTCCATATCAATCGCAACTAATTGCAAGCGGTCAACAAGGGGTGCAAAAGATGCTATGGAAACTGGCAAGTTGTACGCTCTGAATGACAATTTGACCACTACCTTAGCAGCGGACTTGGTAAAAAGATAATTATTTACTCAAACAACGGAAATTGCATTGAGCTCCCATACGTCTGTATACTAAACTGAGCATCCTGAGATTTTGATGCTGTTCTAAGCCAATGAAGTAGTAATTACCTAAGTTCTACTACAAGGTTTTCCTGAGCGAGAAAATTACTTCATAGGAATGATGCGGATCTGCCCCATTCTGTTCATCAATATGGGGTGATTCCAAATTCCGCTTTCCCAGATTTTCCATCCCATCTTTCTAAAGTTTCTGGACTATTTGATGGCTTGGACACAGTTACAGGCTTTCAATGGCACAAACTGGGTTCTTACGCACCTTCCTTACCCTAATTTTAGACTTGAATGGATCCCATACGAATCCCTCGAGTTACTGATCAGTCATCACATTATTAAGAAATTTTGTACTATGAAAGGCCATGATCACTAGGACGGGAAATACGAAAGGGGACTGTACCAATGATCGTGTGTTGCTACGCATGGTATGCTCAACCGCTCCAACGATAATCGGATTGGTATGCAAGTCCAAACAAAATGGTAGACCCTGTTGTTAAAATCTGACGTAGAACAAAAAAAAAACAACAAAGAACTGCGTAAGAACTGATGATCAAGTCTTGTGTAGAACTGTACTTGCATACGTAGATTTAAAAAAAAAAACAGAATGAATGAGACAGCACAAAAAAACCTTTTCATTCCAAAATCCATTTGCTCAGCAGCGACCGACGCAGCTTCAACTTCAGTCAACTTCATCTGTAAGAAGAAACGGGAATGACTGACTGTCCTAACGAGACTTTCCGTCCTAGTTTAAATCCCAGATGCGCAAAAGCTATGAACAACTGAGTGACCATTTCTTATATGTCAATTGCTTAAAATTCTTCTAATGATGCAGAATGTAGGACAAACCTTCACGTCCCCCGAAGAAGCGCTACTTCCTGTTGGTACATCATCAGCTGACTTTACCGATCCTTCCGTAGGTGGTGCATTCAAAAAGTCATATAGATTCCTGCTGAGCACGTTCTAGGAGAAAAACGAATACGAAAATAGAGAACAAAACGAACAAAGGATTGCGAACTTCCGATAAAACTGATTTGACTGCTTCGAATAGATCATTTCGCAGCTGCAGGTAGAGCTCGTCAACTTTCTCAGTCAACTCTTTACGCCGCTTCTCTGCTTCTTTTTGATGATCATCTACAAAATGTGCGATTTCTTCAACGAGTTGCTTCTTCCTTATGGATGGTAACTTGGTTGATTGTTTTTTGGCCATGGCTTCTGCAAAAATATTGAAGAACTTTGGGATTTTATGAAGCAAATTTAGCATTGACGTAGTACTTTTCTATTAATGATGCAATGATTTTCAAGAATGCGATCATAATCACCGAACATCACATCTTATTGGGAGAAGCGATCTTGCTCCCGACGATTCAGTTGGCGTAATTATAACCGGCAAAAAGTTGTAAAGCAATTTTCATAATCTTGACAAGGGATTGAGGCATCCTGAATTGGTCCAAGTACTTTGGGGATACGCTACAATAAAGACTGACTTGCTTACGCATAAAGAAGAATTTGGTGAGTTTCTTCTTCGTTCCGCAAGTCAACTGAATTACAATGCATATTCAAAGCTTTTATTCCACCAGGGAACGAAAGAGACAAGCTGAACATGCGAGCGGTAGCACCCGTGAGAACCTCGCTAGGTGTTGGACGACGAACTCCAGAGAGCTGTCAAAAGGACTTTGGTTTGTTCAGAAAATTTCATCAACTTACAGCATGTGGTTACGCCCGGGTTTTCGTAAAGTCATTAAACTTCCTGTGAGGTCAATGAAGACATCGGTAGATAGAGGATCTAGTACAATAGTGCTGAACGCGAGTGTATCAAAAAATCCCACACATTATTTGCAGACAGTGCTGAGGAAACGCTTTTCTGCGTTTCTGTCGGCTCCTTTGCACCCCGCGACTTTTTCTTTGCCTTCGATGGGGTCAAATGCTTCTCACCACGATCTTGAAGCTAGCGAAGAATTAGGATTAGGTTACTGGTAATAAGTGTACTTTGAAAGGAAGAAATGGAATTGAGGAAAAGCCGTACGAATTTGGAAAATTAGTTTACGCGCGCTAACAAGGCGGACCTCGGTCATAATTCCCGATTGGAGCGACATCGTCGCGCTCCTATTGGCAACTGCATCTCCGTGAATGTGACAGCTGCGGACTACCCTCTATGGATTTCCAACTACCACAATGTCGAGCCATACCGGTGCCGGCTAGCAGTGTTCACGTAATCGAAACTCCCGAAAAATTCTATGGTTTTCTCATTGTAAGTTGCTGTCAATTATTAGTTTTGATCAGCTTTTGCTTATTTCGGTTTATAGTGAACCTTTTCGTTGTTTTCAATTTTTTCTGTTTGTTTTTGTTCATAGGAGAACAGATGCTTTGCGATTCATCAAATCTTACCTGTTTACTTTCCCTAGGGAATTAAGCCTCCTTTTTTTATAAATGTGGAGCTTTTCTTACACCTTTTTCAACATTGTCCTGTACGATATGATATGATCATGAGTTTTCTGGTGTTGTTTGCCACGCTTATCTTATTCTGTCGCTCCTGTTGTTTTGGGCTAGTACATTACTTGATTCCCTCGGTAGGTACAAAGTTCTAATATGAAAAATGATTTAGGAACGATCTCAATCTGCCAAAAGTCGCATCTCTCTTAGCACTTTGTATCTTGGTGATGGTTCACTGGAACGAGCATTGGTGGGCATCTCTCTCGCAAGGTCTTTTGAGTAGTATCTCACAGTAACATTTCCCCAGGTGGACTCCATTGGAGCCAACTTGAAGCGGAACGATGACCTGAAAGTCACTGTGTTGCTTGATTATCTGCGAGGCACGCGAGGAGTAGCCGATGAAAAGAGCAGCACAACTCTTTTGAAAGCAATTGCTGACAAAGCTACCGTGAGTTTTTGAGTTTCTATCCACTTTGTTGTATAAATACTGTCTTAGATCTACCTCTATCATACTCCAAAACTCACTGGATTTGTCAAAGCCATGCTTCCTGAAAGAACAAATGAAATTGTTGGCTTACAGCATATGAAGTTGTATATTTTTGACGATACGATCCTTTTAAGTGGGTGGGTGAGTCGACAATTGTTATTTTGCATTCAACGAAAAAGTGGATATGTTCAGGGCAAATCTGTCGGACTCGTACTTTACTAATCGTCAAGATAGATACGTTGTTTTTGAAGACTGCAAGGAGCTAGCTGATTTTTTTCACGATATAATCGATGCTGTTGGCGATTGTTCATTCATGCTCAAAGAGGATGGGTCGATCGAGCTCAACCCCAATTGTACTGTTCACCCATACGAAGGTACGGCTCTTTTTCTTCATTTTTCAATCTTTGTGTCAATGTTAGACTTTCTGTTTTACAACACAAAGGAAAACTTGTTGCATTTGGCAATACATTGGTGTTCTGTCTAGGTAGCTTCGATGAGTATCGCAAACTGCTCCGTTCGAAAATTTCGTCTGTTATCACCGCCTTAGAAGAGAAGAAACGAACTTTGCCACCTTCGTCTAGCGATACCGTTTTGTATCCTTTGGTGCAAATGGGACTTTTTGGATACAATGAGGAATATGATTTTCTCAAGACGCTTTTCGCCACAAAAGTGAGATTTTTATTCATAATCGCTTGCTGCGGCATTGCGGTTCGCATTGTTACATACTTAGGATATTCACACACATATTACGATGGCGTCGGGATATTTTAATTGTATCAAGGAATATGAACATCTGATATTCAGTGAAGGCAAGTACTCCATGGACGTAGTAACAGCAGCACCAAAAGTAGGCTTCATTGCTTTCCAACGGGTTTCGATCAGTTACTCAATTTGCAATTCAAGGCCAACGGATTTTTTGGAGCTGCCGGACTTTCGGGATATGTGCCTTCGATGTACTCTTGGGTTAGCAAGAGAATATTACGGCTGAAGGAGAAGTACTCAAGGAATGATGTGAACCTGTACGAGTACCACCGAGAGGGATGGACATTTCATGCAAAAGGATTGTGGGTGGAAAAGCCAGCACAGACGGCGACGCTTGTCGGTTCTTCAAACTTTGGTGTGTTCGTTTGAACTAGATCAAGCCATATCGTCGCATTTCTGCTTATATTAGCCTTCAAATCATCATTTCGTTGTTCATCTATACTTTCAGTAAGAGAGAAGGATACTCGGTATCAGTGGCCTTTTGAAATGAGATGTATAATATTACGCTCGTCTTGGAACGCTTTCATCTGACTGTCGTTTCTGCTAGTCTTCTCTCTGAAAATTAGGGGTTTCTGCGCCAAGTTTGGTCGTCCAGGGGAAATAGTATAGCCATTATCCCGGAAGGCCTGTTAGTGCGATAGCCTCACAGGATCATGCACGTGTAGGTTCGGGTCGTTTTGCGTTTTTTCTTGCACCTGGGCGGCCAATCTTGGCGCGAAAATCCCTCATAGCTTTTTCATAAACAACGACTAGCAGAAACAGTCAGATTTGGAATTAGCGTAATTAGCGTTGCAAAACAAGTGTATTGGTATAAATTACATCTCAAAAGGTCACATACACCGAGTATCCTTCCCTTTGGTTGAAGTTTCATTTCTAGGCTATCGATCTGTGCACCGAGATATGGAAGCACAGGTTTTGATTGTTACATCCAACGAACAATTACGCAGTCAACTGAAGGAGGTACAGTTATTTCTACACCTTTTTGAATACACTTCATTTTTTAATTTTATTCTCGGAAGAGTCTGTTTGATTTTTTCTTGAAACATGATTTGGCCGTTGCAGGAGCGACAGCGGCTTTTCGAGTTTTCGTCGATTTTGGATGCAGCAGCTTTGAGGAGAGCTGATCATCACATACCTGCTGTGGTTCGCGCTGTATCTCGAGTAGTTAGAAACTTCTTTTGAAAGTTTCCAGAAAAGCAGTTATTTTATTCATTTTTATGTATTACGAAGTTTATCATCTTTCCAAGGTTATTTTACATTTGCGAAGACATGATATATCTACTAGTCGCCGTCTTGTACCAGTATTAGTTGTTTTACAGTATTAGTTGTTTTTGATCATGATTGCATGCTCAGTATGTATCTTCACAACACTCTTCCCTGTTTTACATTTGCATTTTCTTTTAGGTCATGCATCTTATCTACTTGTACTCAGCCATCGATATCAAGTATCACCTATCTCATAAATGATGTTTCTCTGATTTGTTCATTTCGTTTCAATCAGTTGTCTGTTGCTGATCTTACTTCACTCAAATGCTGATAAAGCAACTATTTTTTGTACACTAGATGGTGGTTTTGCAGAGTCAAATATGGGATTACTACCTGTAGGTTTATTAGTTGGTAAAGCTCTACTAGATAATATAGCTCGCCGTACAGCTCCAACACAGGTATGGCCTTTCTAAGTGTCGCGTTTTTTTAGTCAAGACAAAGAATCCTAGGTTGTTCGGACATCTGCTACAATAGGTACCGTTCACAATGTTCGAAGCAGGAGGCATGCATCTTCGGCATCTAGCGCGAATCCTTTCGAAAAAGAACAGGTGATCTCCTCAGTTTGATAGCCTGCTGGCTAGTCTATTTTGAACTCCCACTGTGCTGCTTTGAGTCAATAATTGCTACAAGCGGAAAGTCTCCTTAGTCTGGCTCTCTCGAAAGAGACATAAATATTTGGAACCAGCTTGGAACGCTAATTCCAAATATGCTGTGGCTTGTTGCAAACATACTTTGAAGCGATTTATGAGTAGGTCAGTCACGCTTGAATGTGTGGTTGACTGCTGGGTTAGACGTCCTATAGATAGGACCTACGCAAAAATGTGGTAGAAGGTCAAAGTGGATCAGATAGAATTTTCTGATTTTGATGGAGAGCTTATACAGTTGCATAACATCTGGATGTTGATACCCAAAGTCAGCAGGCATGCAAATTTTGCGCAGATAAAAGCCCATGACTCACTGTGGAATATAACTCAGCGTTTCAAGCTGGTTGCGATATGTGTTGTTTTCCAAAAGATTTTTCCTTTAAGTGAGAATGGAAAATGGGTCTGAGTTTCTAACTGTGACATGAATTTTGAATTTTTGTTCTGGCTGTCGATTGTTTGTTTGATTAGATGCTACAGCGGATTGGAGGTACAAGTATAAGACGATCGCATGCGCAGATTGAACGAGAAAAACAACTATTAGAGGAAGCTTTACCAAACGAAAATTGGTAGGTGCGGTTTATCAATATTGTTTGAAATTTCTCGGATCCAGTGACAGGGAACAGCTGCTTGCTTTTCATTCCAGGATTGCTGTATATCGGTACCCAGGCATTCGTTTTGCTGTATTGCTAGCTCGAGCGAAGTTGTTACAAACTGTCGCTAGTGTGCTTTTCTTGCCGTATTCTTCTTATCAGTATGCTTTTGGTCAAGTTGACGCTACATTTTTCTACTCGACTGCTTTCGTTGCTGTATTTGCCCCAGTTGCTCTAGCAGTGTTTAGCAGGTGTGTAGCCTTAACATACCCACCAAAAAATAGCTTCTAGATTTGCTTCAGGTACTTAAATCGACTAATTGGAGTAATCGCAATGAACGAAAGCAACGATTACGTCAGAATTGGGTATCTGACGTTTTGGGGATCACGAAAAAACAAGTGCGGTGTTGCTTCTATGCTTCGAATTGTTTGTCTCTTACAAAATGCAGTCCTTTTGCAGATATCTAGAAATAACGGATGTCCTGCCATTGACCGAAGTATCGGGCAACAAAAAGGACAGTGTTATAAAGTTCTCGTGGTTTGGAGGGTAAGTCATGGTTGAGAATTTAGATTGAAATTATAGCTTTTATTTTTCAGAGACAACTTCCTATACCTGCCTACGAGGAATGTAGAGATTGTTGATGAGAAGAGGGCGGAGTTGCTCTTCGGAGATATCAGTGTATTTAATAGCTTCAAAAAAGATTAGCTGAAGTGATTGTTGCACAAGGTAATCAAATACTCGAAGAACCTTTCTTCAAGTCACGTGCAGGTCTTCGTGCATTTTTCATTGGCTATTGCTTTTAACGTAAAGGCAGTCACAGAGTAAGGCACGCGCCATAGTTGATCCACTTTATCCTTTTGACTAGCTCCATCCACTTCGTTATTGGTCGAATCAGTAAATTGATCTGCAATAGCGAAGCGGGTGAAGCGGATAAAGTGGATCAATTATGGCGACGGCCAAAGACGGCTGTTCTTGTACGTAAGACTTCTCATGCAGTAATCAGTGAATTGACCAATAGCGAAGCAATGTCTGTATAATCGCTTTGTTCGCGCCGCCATTGGTCAGTTATTTAAACTGGTCAAATGGAACAACTTCAAATGTTTATTCGCAGTCCGTGCGAGTGGAAGCCATCGGGGACATATCGTCCACTACCACATGAGTAGTTTAACCGTTCCGCGAACACATAAAGTAAAGGACGAAGGAAAACAAATGAATAAAGGACGCAGCTGAGGACTGGTCACAGTTCGAGAAGAACAGATGATCCTGGCAGTCTGTACCTGGCTACATATGCAGGGCGATCATGGGTGGTACATACAGTACCGCTCACAGAATGTGCTAAATTTCCATGAATGTCGCGGAATTCCGGGAAGTTGGCGACATTCCCGAAATTTTTCACTTTTTGTGAGCGGTATTGTATGTACCACCCATGATGGCCCTGCATATGTAGCCAGGTACAGACTGCCAGGATCATCTGTTCTTCTCGAACTGTGACCAGTCCTCAACTGCGTACTTTATTCCTCCGGCTCCACATATCTTCCTTGGGTGAGCATCAGCAGTGGAATTTTGAAGCACCCTTTCATAGCAATTGCATCGACTCGGAAATATAGGCAAATTCGCTGCAACGTGCAGGCCGGCACAATACTTCTTAGAGCAGTATCCAGGCTAAATCTTGTTCCCTCCTACTAGTGCCGATCGTGAATGTAAGCCCTAAGAAAGGGGTATCTGCGTTGATCCGGTCCTTTAAGGTCTCTGATTGGACATAATGCGCCTGGAACAGCCAGAGTGCTATCAAGCCCCGCCCAGATCCTATCAAGCTCCTCTCACCTATGTACTGAAAGCCGCCCATTCTCTCAAGGGGTCCCCAGGAATCGGGTTTTGGGGTTTTGGACATTTAAATTCATAATTGTAATCAGGGCCACGGAAAACCCCAAAATGCCAAGAAATTGGAAGATGAATTTTTGGGTAGACGCTGCCTTTAGAGGCAGTGGATCAGCAGAATGGACCCTTCTCGGATTTTGGTGGATTTAGGTAGTTGACCCCCCAAGTACACTGTAGCCCAAACCCCAACCCCCAATTCATGGGCTAAGTCCTGAAAAATGCGCTTCAAAACCAGCCCCGCCCTTTTGCATTGAGTGGAATTGAACTCTTGTGGACGAATTTATGGGCAGTCTTATTGCAAATTTTTTTCGCAATTTTTTTTTGAATTTTTTTGATTTCAATTAATTTAGACCATTCTTAGACCATCACCATCATTTTTACCACCTTCGATGACAATTGGTCCTTTCGCAGTGCTCTCACACCTCGTTGCAGCATCAGTAGTCCGCGAAAGCGGCCTAAACGGCGGAGTTCGTTCACCTATTCCGGCCTCGGAATTTCCGTGCGTAAGCGAGGGGGGGGGATCTCGAATGGAGCTGCAACTTAGCCACGTTTTTGGGATGTTTTCCAAGATTTTTGTGGACCTCTAACTCCCAGTGGCACATACCTTCGATAGTCTAGAGACAGAGCGTCAAAAGTGAAGGTTTTTCGAACATCTGACGTCATAAATCGTGAGGGTTGTATAAAGAAGATCAGAGAAGAGAAAATGACGTAAAACAGATATAAAAAGCAAAAGAAACTGTTGGAAACCGGATAAAAACGCTTCAATGAGGTTTGAAATCTTTCATTTGTCGGCTTTCCAAACTGCAAGTTTTCGCTGACCAGCAATTCGCAACACGGGGTTTTGATTTTTGATGCGTCCTAGATTTTTACCCCCGCATTGACGTTCCTGTTTCCTGGGACGTTGTCTGGATTGTTGCGCTTATTGTTCTGAGCAATAGTCGCCCAAGCTGGAGAAAAATTAATGCGAAAGCACTGAAACAGAACAAGGTAAAGAAAAACGCACTTTTTACGGTTTTTCACAAAAAATTCCACCATAATCGAAGAGGTAAGGGGTGGTTGGTTGTCTGCATTATGAACAGAAGCAAGCTCTATAGGATGCACGAAAAAATCGTGTGAAAATAGTTAAACTAGGAGAGAAACGAGAGATTTTCAAAAACAAGGTTCTTGCCGGATTTCTCGATCAAATCAAAAAATGTGGTTCTGGGACGTTGTCAGAGTGAAAATAGAGATCAAGAGCTTCAAAATGATATATAGCTTGCTAAAATTGGGTTCGAAACAGCGAAGAAAAAGGTACCAGAGCCAACTGCCCCGCGCCCCGCGTTTGGGGTAGCGAGGTAGCGCGCAGCGCGCGGAGACGCAGACGAGCAGCGGAGACAGACCAGAGCCGACGGGGCATTTGGCTCTGGTCGTAGACCTCCGCGGGGTCTCAACGAAACCCCGCAACATTATATATCATTCTGATCGCCATGACACGACGAGGAGAACTGACAATGTCCCAAGCTTTAAAAATCACTCATTAACGAGATAAACCAGCATTTTCGTGCGCGACTCTCTGCGCAAGATTTAAGCGCAGTTTCTCGTTCTTATTTAACTCCAATAGCTTTCCTAAACTTCTGAACTCGATTTTGTTCAAATAAGAGGTTAACTAAATTTTGTTCTTAATTCTGGCTAAAATCCCATAGAAAAACCTTTTTTGAGGTTTAAAAAAGGCTATGAAAACGCAGATTCTCGGTTTCGCTGAGATAAGTTAAAGGTTTTATTCTCTATATTTGCTTCATTAACATTCGTTCCGATATAATCAGGACAATAACATCCGGGGCTTTCCAGGTGAAGGTTGTGTCCTTTTATAGCCCTCAAAGTGAAGGTTACCAGAGTACGTGGCTCTGTGTATCGAGGGTATGCAGTGGCAGTAGCCACTTTATCGAAAAAGGTTTTTCGCAAGGTCAATTTTAATTTTGGAAGTGTAAAAAAATATTTTTGTTATTTACAAGTGCAGACAATTTAGTGCAGTCTCTCTTTTGAAAGTCATGTGAGTAATCTAAAAACTTCGTGGCCCATGCTTCCCCACCCCCTTCCGCCCCATCCCCCCTCTCTCTCTCCCAGTACACAGTTGAGAAGTCTTGAATGGAGCGAGAGTGATTTCTTAGTAAATTTAATATGAAGGTATCTCAAGCCCACCCAATGAAAGAACAGAATTATTGCTGACTATCATGATATGAAATTTATGTCTCAACATAGCATTGGCTGAGCTGACCTCTCTCAAAGGCTGTGTTACGTCTTCTTTCTCTTGGAATTTGCTTCCATAAGCTTGCTAATAGGGAAGCATCAGAATTTTGATAGGGATAGCTAGTTCTCTCCTCTTTTTTCTCCACAAGAAAGTTCTCAAACTTTACACAGAGGAAGGTTTTGCGACTACTATTAACATGACGCAGATCTCAGTCTTGCACGGATACTTATCCCAGCTCTTGTTTCCGACTTGGAATTGATTGAGCAGTTTTCGTATATCTCTCATGTCGGAAACAGTGATTGTCAATTTTGAAAAACATAAATGACATACTTTGCAAGTATTTACGAAAACCTCAAAGATGCTCTGCCTGGCATCGATGATGTGATATAGCGAGTAATGTGCTAGCACGCTATCACGCAATCATCTAGTTAGTTCAAAACATCATCCTCTACAGAGTCGTTGAGTATTGCATGAACATCGTATGCTTACTGAAAGTTTTTTTTCAGCCATCTGAACCCTAGGTTTTCATAATTTCTTGTAATTCCAACAGTGAATGTATTTGCTGCTGCACTCCGAGAATACCACGTTTAGTGATATACACCTGGTGGCTTGGTCATTTCGTAGCTTGAAGTGAGATGCATATTTGGTTGAACATATCACCATCTTAAACATCGCAACATATGCTGAATCCTCATGGTTTTTATCATTTGAGGCGATCAGTTGAGAAGAACATGTATTTTCTCCATATTCGAAATGTATTCTTGTCATCTACGGTGAATCTTTCGGATAAGGGTATCTGAACTTAATTGCGCGAAGATTTCGTATTATACCGAAAGATTGCATAGTTGACTTCTTGCACACTACAATGAAAACTGATGCTTTTGAACCCTTCTAGAATCTAGAAGAGCATTAGCTTCTTGTGATACAAACCGAATATGGAGACATCTGTCTGTTGAGGGTTAAATCTTCGATTTTGGCACGACGGTGATCGCAAATCCTAACAATATTTCTTGAATGGGACACAACTTTGCGGCACGTTGTCACCACCGTTGTTGATCATCAAATAAAATCTTACAACTGCTCTATCTAATTGCAAATTATTTTTTGCACTTTGTGGCAGTGATGGTGCAGTGCATGTCTGTACCAGCTGGAGCAGTCGTTGCTTAATTGAACATTAAAAAGAGCGAACTCGGAATATAACATTATGCAGGATTTTCTAAGACTTGTAAAGCCCTATCTGACTTCTAAATCGCAAAAATGTAGCTGCTTAAGGGGTAAGTTGCAAATAGAATACGCGAGCTATTGTGATTTTCGGCTATATAGTCGGAGGTAGTCTATATCTCCACTCAGACAATCCGCATAATTTAGGAGGACAACTGAACTTCTAAAACTTCCGGGGTGGACGCTCCTATTGGGCCGTGTGGGTGGACCCCGCCTTACCTGGCCGCGCCCTATTTGGCAGCTCCAATAGGAGTGTTCCCCCGAAAGTTCTAGAACTTTAGCTTTTCCCGGAAGTATTAGGTTGGAAATAAGTTTTGCAACTCATTCAGTAACTTCTCTCTCACTCAGTATGGCTCTCTCA